TTGTTGTGCTCGATCAGACCACGGCCCTCACCGAATATATAGACACCGCCTTGCTGGCCGTTAAAAATCTCATTTTTGCGCACTGTTGGATCCGACTGTGATGTTATCCAAATACCCGCGAATGCGTTCCCGTAGATGCGATTCTCCATAAACTGACCACGTCCTGGAATAAATCAGCCGCTTAGTCAGTTCTTTCGCGTCATCTAGTCAATTTCTCACTAAACAGGGCAAGATCTCAGAGAACGAACAGTATTTCTTGCCTGACCATCCTCTTGGAACCTTTTTCTTTGAAAATCCTAAACAAACCTTTCTCGTGCACGTAAATACCACCAGTTTGACCGTGATGTATTTCACATCGAACCACCGTCGGATTTGCTTGATTTTTCACTTCAATCCCGGAGATACGATTTCCATGAATATTGCATTTTTCGAAGTAACCCTACAGAGAAAATAATCGATTCAACAGCGTTAGCACATAGCCTCTTTAAGCAAGACTGAAATATCATTTTGTAGCCTATTAAAAATTGTGTTCTTGCGATCGACTGAAACACTTTCCCTTCACTTCAGTTCATGAGCCGAGTGCCTCGTTGCCTTTTCTCTGCATCACATTTCTTTAAAAGCTTTCAATCCAAATGAAATCAGTACAAATGATAATGAAAAATGACAAACGCTGATATTAATTACTGCCAAAATGTCACAAACCATTCCATGCTCAAAGGTGAACACACCAACATCTCGCCCGTGATGAATATGACACCGTTTGAAGAACGGATTCGCACGGTTCTTCACCCATACACCAGCCAACGTGTTTCTGGCGATTTCACACTCCTCATAGATACCTAACGCTCCATCCGTAATATAAATACCGACATTGTCGCATTCACATATCGAACATTGTTTCATACGTGGATTTGCGCCTTCTTTCTTCACACACACCGTGGCACCACCTTAAAAACACATTTTAATTTCCCAACGAATCAAACAGGAGTTCTCAAGCGGATTCAGAATTACGCCTAAATCAGTTTGTGACTTCATTTTTCCGAG